ACAACACTTCCTCAATGCTGGAGATGGCTCCAGTGTTTCATTTATTTCAGTTGTCCCATTCCTGGTTTGGGTTGAGCCAGGAAGAGTTGAACCTCCACCAGCTTCCTGAAACAAGGTTTGGTGGTTCTCCTCTAACCTGGAGGTCCCTGGTCTGGGGAGCCACAGGGACAGGGCTGCTCCCATCTCACCCCAAGCACCCCTCTGGCCAACATGCAGATTTTGAGTTGTTTTCCCAAGAAAACCCGGCTCTGGTGACACTCAGGGGTATCTGTGTGGTGGCTGTGCCAGGTGGTCTCGGCCATGGTGGACCTTTGTCCGGGAGTGGTTCTGGCAGAGCCGGCACCTCGGGCCCATTTCGGGAGGAGGGATGGGGCCGTGTGTGGAGTTTGGATCCTGGCACCCAGCCCAGGATGGTTAATGGTTCACCAAGGTCGTCCAGAGGGAAGGGGCCGTGGGGGAGCGGAGCAGCAGCAGCTCCAGCGTGTCCTGGGCTGTAGGGACAGCTGGGGAATGGCCACCCTTGTCCACCCCAGCTCAGCCCCAGCCGCTGTCCTTGGCACCTGCTAGGGGGTGGTGCCTCCCTGTTGTGCCAGCTGAGAAGTCCTCAAATCCTCTGTGAGCCTGAGCGCTCCAAGGAGGGCATGGGAAAGGTCCCAGCCCTTGGGAAGTCGGCACAGAGCAGGATATGCCACTGCGCTCTGCTCTGCTGGTGCGTGGAATGTTTGGGGTTGGGGGGCTCACCCTGGAATCTTCCCCCTGCTCTGTGCCAGAGCACCCTGGTTGCCCAGGGCCACGTCCTGACATGATCCAGAGCTCTCTGGGGATGGCATCCCCCATTCCACCCCACCACATCCCATCCCTCCTCACCCAACTGCTCGTCCTTCCCATCCCACCTCCTGCCTCGCCCCATAACCCAGCCCTGGCACCCCTGGGTGCCCCCTGCCAGCCCAGTGGCCCAGGCTGTGTTCAAGCCGTGCTGTTTTGGGCTGGGGCCGTGTCCCTCTTCCACAGGGAGCCGTGCCAGTGTCCAGGCTGCCCTGCGCACGCTGCTGGCCGTGCCCTGGCCCTCCCAGCGGGACGTTCGCTCTGCGCTCCAGCTCCTCGCCGTCCTGCAGTGGGTGCTCAGCTTCCTGCTGCTGGGTGAGTAGGGGGCTGCGGGGGCCCTGGGGGTGGGCACACACCCGCTCACCCCGTGCCTGGCCCCCACAGGAACCGTCAGCCTCGTGGTGCTCATCTACCTGCTGTTCACCAGCTTCTGGCTCATCCCGGTGCTCTACCTGGCCTGGATCATCTTCGACTGGGACACGCCGGAGAGAGGTGGGGTTGGGAACATCCCCCTTCCTCCGACTTTGCAGCAGGATGGGGGGTGGGGTCCCCCCTTCCTCCAGGTCCCTCACAGCAAATGGGGAGATCCACATCCCACCTGCTCCTTCCCTCCACTCCCACACCATCAGCACTGTGGTGGGAACAGGAATACGGCGGGTCCCTGGGGAGTGTTTCCCATGGATCCCACTGCCCACGGGGGTGGGTGTCATCTCCTGTGGTCCCTCCCTGGATTGCAGGTGGCAGGAGGCTGCCATGCCTGCGGCGATGGACTGTGTGGAACCACTTTCGGGATTATTTCCCTGTCAAGGTAGAGTGCCAGGACAGGATATTCCTGCAGGTGCTGGTGGTGGGACCACCCAAAAGGAGGTGCCATGTCCCTGTGACCCCTTTTGTCCCCACAGCTGGTGAAGACACACGATCTGTCCCCCAGCCACAACTACATCATCGGCTCCCACCCCCACGGCATCCTCTGTGTCGGCGCCTTCTGCAACTTCATCACGGGCTCCACGGGCTTCGAGGAGATGTTCCCGGGAATCCACTCCTTCCTCACCACCCTGGCTGGCAACTTCCGCCTGCCCCTTTTCCGGGAGTACCTGATGAGTGGGGGTGAGCAGCCCCTGCCCAGTCCTGCTGGCAGTGCCCGCAGGCAGGGGGTCCCTGCTCCCTCTGAGGGAAACACAGGAGTGATGGTGCTCCCAGGAGCAGGCAGGGCAGGGATGGAGCTCTGCCTGAGCTCCACCTTCACCTCGCCTGCACCCTGCCTGCACCCTGCCTGCACCCTGCCTGCACCCTGCCTGCACCCTGCCTGCACCCTGCCTGCACTGCACCCTGTGTACACCCTGCCTACACCCTGCCTACATCTTGCCTGTGCTCTGCCCACACCCTGCCTACACCTAACATACACCCCACCTCCACCCTTGCTATACCTTACCTACACCCCACCTGCACCCTGCCTGCACCCTGCCCACACCTTACCTGCACCCTGCCTGCACCCTGCCCGCAGCAGGGGGTGCCCTTGCGCTGTCCCTGCCCTGGTCCCACCCGGTGTGATCCCTCGTGGTGTCCCCGGCGGTGTCCCCGTCCCCGGGCGCTGCCCAGGCGGGCAGTCCCACAGCTCGGGTGCCCGTTCCTGCCGCAGGGCTGTTCCCGGTGACCCGCCGTGCCATCGGGTACCTGCTGTCCCAGAACGGCACCGGCAATGCGGTGGCCATCGTCATCGGCGGCGCGGCCGAGTCGCTGTCCTGCCGGCCCGGCATCACCACACTCATCCTCCGCAACCGCAAGGGCTTCGTGCGCATGGCCCTGCGGCACGGGTGGGTCACGGGTGGGCACAGGGGGGTCACGGGCACGGCCACCCCCGCGGGGGACTGGGTGTCCTGGCACCCCGTCACTGCCCACCGTGTCCCCTCCACAGGGCCTTCCTCGTCCCCTCCTTCTCCTTTGGGGAGAACGACCTGTTCCGCCAGGTGGTCTTTGAGGAGGGCAGCTGGATGAGGAGCATCCAGCAGCGCTTCCAGAAGATGATTGGCTTCGCTCCCTGCGTCTTCTACGGCCGCGGCCTCACCTCCAGCCGCTCCCGGGGCTTCCTGCCCTACGCCAGACCCATCACCACCGTGGGTGAGTGGCTGGGCTGGGGGGACCCCCGAGGGTGGGGCAGAGCAGGGACACCCCGCTGGAAGGCGCCGCTCGGGCCGTGTCCCCGTGAGCCGAGCGCGTCCCCAGGCCACGGGTCTGACCCTGTCCTGTCCCCTGCCGGCAGTGGGGGAGCCGGTGGCAGTGCCCAAGGTGCAGAACCCGAGCCGGGAGCTGGTGGACACGTACCACGAGATGTACATCCAGGCCCTGCTCAAGCTCTTCAATGACAACAAGAGCAAGTACGGGCTGTCGGAGACGGACGAGCTGCGCATCCTCTGAGTGCCCCCGGCGCCGGCAGCCCCATCCCGGCTCACCAGGGCTTCTGGGGGGGGATTTCAGCCGGCCTGGCACGGGGGACACACGGGGCACAGTCCCCACCCCAGCCCTCCGCTCCTCTGGCCCAAAAATCTGAGTGGGAGATGGGAGGAGAGGAGGAAGCCAGGAGGAGATTGGGAAAGGGTCCCACTTGGAAGGGGTTTGGAGGGGCTGCAGGTGACACAGCTGTCTCCTGGCAGGGGCTGGGGTGAGGCTGAGGGCCAGTGATGGGCACAGTCCCCCTAGATAACCAGGTCACCACGAGCTGAGGGAGGGGGTGCCATGAGAGGAGAAATCAAATAGGGTCTTTGGGGTGGCATCCTGATGGTGCGTGGGACCAGCCTTGGGGGACATCCCACCCTGGGGTCGAGGGGGAACACTCCTGGACTTGGGGACCTGTGGAATTGGCCTCAGCCAGGACCACGTGGTCTCAGATGAGCCTTTTCAGGTGCCTCTGTCCCCAATACAGGTTTCCAACTCCCCTCCCCTGTCTGTGTGTGTTCTGGGGGTCGGGATGGGCAGGACTGGGACAGACCTGTTGACCTGCCACTCACTGTGTCCCCTCCCAGGGAGGTCCATCTCCAGCTGGGGCTGTACTTGGCAGGGCCCCTTGCACTGCTCAGGTGCAACCAAGCTGCTCCAGGGTGCACCTGAGCCACGTTGGATATAATGGGAGGAGAGGGGCAGCAGCTGCTCTTACTGGGTTAGCTGGGCTCAGGAGGAGGATCTCCTGCTCGCTCTGCTCTCGGCTCAGTGGTGAGTGAGTGGCTCTCTGGGCACCACTGCTGGTGGGGTGGGGACACAGGGCTGGGATGTGCCATCCTTGGGGCCCTTTCCTTCCCCTGGGCAGCTCCTGATGGGGTGTGGCTTGTGTGACCAGTGCCATGGCAGAGGTGACACCTTGATGACACTTTTGGTGTATCCATTCCCAAGGTATGTGCTGACAGGAGTTGTGGGGGGCCATGGGGACAGCCCTGTCCCTGTCCTATCCCTGCCAGGCTGGCATGGGAGAGTAAACAGCACTGATACCAATCTTGGTCTGCTCCACTGTGCAGGCACTTCGTCAAACAAAAGGGCTGGGTAAACATTTGAGGAGCAAACACCCATAAAGGCACATTCCCGTCACCAGGGGTGTCACCAGCTCACTGCTCTGGACCTGCCCTGGCACTGGTGTCACAGTGGAGGGTGGCTTTTCTCTGGGGTGAGGGTGGGTGTCTCGTTCCTCTTCCTTCTGCTACAGGGAGAAACAGGCAGGAGCAAAGGGAAAGGGGAAGGGGCTTTACTGGGGGGTGATGGGCAGCAAGTGCTGTAGGTGCCCCGTGTCACATCTCTCCTCCTCTGCCAAGGCCAGTGGTGTGACAGAGACATCTCTGACAAACAGGCAGGGGGGACCCCAGCGTGGGCTCTGTCCTCTTGTTCAGTCTGTTGCCCACACATCACCACAGAGCCGTCTGGAAGGACTGTGCCTACACAGGGAGGGACCAGTGTCCCTTCTCTTTAGTGACCTGTCACCCCTTTGTGTCCCCAGGAGTGCCCTGGGATGGGACACCAGCCTGCTTCCCCCAAACAGCCTCCTCGGTGTCCTTCCCATTCCCACGCGTGCTCTCCTGCCCCAGTGAGCACCAGCACTCTCCTCCCAGAGCATCCCAGGGCAGGGCTGGGACTGGCCCCGTGGCCTCCAGCCCTCAGCCCTGTGGCCTGTGCCCCTGCAGGGGCTGGGCAGGGGCAGGGCAGGTCTGGGGACCTGGGGGTGCCCACATGGAGCCCAGAGATGAGGTCATGGAACCCCCTCGGGCCCCTCAGCACCCGCCCCCGCTCCGTGCTGTCCCTGTCCCTCGGGTGACACTGGCCACGTGGCCGCTGTCCGTGAGGGTGTCCGTGTAGGGCGACACCAGGGCCAGGTCGCAGGTGGGCACGGGCCGGAGCCGGTGGGCGGCCCCCCGGCGCAGCCCCCGGTACTTGTCCCCGGCCAGGAAGTACAGGATGGGGTCGAGGCAGCTGTTGATGCTGGCCAGGGGCCGCGTGATCTTGTAGGTGAAGTTGATGATGTTGAGGGTCCGGCAGTCGGCTTGGAAGTAGCGGGAGGTGTAGTAGAGGGTGCGGGTGATGTGGAAGGGCACGAAGCAGATGGCAAAGACGGCGAGCACGATGATGATCATCTTGATGGAGCGTTTCTTGTAGGAGGGCATCCGCGGGCTGGGGCTGGAGAGGCTGGACTTGCCGAGCTGCTTGGCCATGAGGCAGTAGCACAGGACGATGACCAGGAAGGGGAGCCCGAAGAGCAGGGCCATGACAGAGGAGCTGTAGTGCACGTAATGGTCAAACTCCTCGGGCTTGGTGGTGTCGTGGCACAGGGTGGTGTTGCCCGTGGAGCTGGTGGTGACAAAGATGAGGTTGGGGATGAGGCAGATGGTGACAACGAGCCAGGCACCCACGCAGATGATGCGGGCGTGCTTGGTCTTCACCCACTTGAGGGAGCGGATGGGATGGCAGATGCCCATGTAGCGGTGGACGCTGATGCAGGTGAGGAAGAGGATGGTGCTGTAGAGGTTGGCATAGAACAGGAACCGCACGATCTTGCAGAGCCATTTCCCGAAGGGCCAGTTGTTGCGGTCGGCATAATAATAGACCAGGGTGGGGAGGGAGAGGACGTAGAGCATGTCAGACACAGCCAGGTTCACCATGTAGGTGGTGGTGGCATTCCAGGGCCTCATCCTGGAGATGAATATCCACAGGGCCCAGGAGTTGAGGGGCAGCCCCACCACGAAGACGATGCTGTAGGAGATGGGCAGCAGGATGAACTTGAACTCCTCGTCGAAGACACACTTCGCCTCGGCCACCTCAGTGGTGTTCCCTCCTGGCCAGGGAGTCGGTGTCGGTGTCCACAGGGCAACTGGGAATGTCCTCCCTGAAGTGGCCATGTTCTCCGAGCCAGATCTGGGGGAGTAGTTAATAAAAGCACATTAGTCGTCGATCCTGACCATTGTCAGGCACAAAGCGTGGAAAGGAGCCAAAGATGCCAGATTTTGCCTCCCTCCAGGAGCTTCGGCCACTTTGAGGGTTCTCTGGTTTTTCTCAGCTCATGCGCTCGGGCCTCGCGGGGCCGGGGGGGCCTGGGCAAGCCCTCCCTCTGCAGCCCCCGCAACAACACCCATCAATGAGCCCTCTGAGTGGCGCAGGGACGGAAGCATGCCGGGGACAGAGAGCCGGGCCGGCCCCGCCGGGCAGCAGCCCCACGGCGCAGCGAACAATGAGACCTTGATGAGCAACAGCAGCCCCCGGCCGGGCCAGCACAGCCTCTTGGAAGCTGCCTCAGCCTAATTGGCACCATCCTGACAATGCTGCTGCTCCCAGAGGGCTCCTTGACAGAAGAAAGGCGGGAGGAGAAGAAAGCTTTGTCTGGGGGAATGTTGTGGCCCAGAGGAATCCTGGGGGGGAGAGTGGTAAAGGAGCCTTTGGGAGACAGTGTCCCCGATGGTGAGGGGCCTCGGCTGCTGGGTATTCTCCGTAGGAGAGGGATGAGCTAAGCCCTGTGGAGAGGAGCCGCGCCGGGGCCAAGTCCCAGCTCAAGGCAGTGCAAGTTAACAAGGCAGGACGTTTCCTCCTGCACCGTGTTAGGATCAAAGGCTGGATCTGCATCCTCCTGGAAAATCACTGTGAGCACAAGCTGTCAAAGGGTCAGGTTTGCCTGTTGGATGTCTGAAGTTCAGAGCCCTCTTCTCCGTGGTGTCCAGCAAAGGACCAAGGAAGGCTGCTGGCACTCTGACCCCTCTGCACCCACCACCATCCCTGGTGAAGTGATTCCTCCAACAAGGATGGATGCTTGGATGAGTAACCTGGGAGCAGGAGCATCTGCTGTGCTGCTGGTGGGGACAAGGGCGTAGCCAAAACTGCATCTGATGGAGGGAATGCTGGTGCATCTCCAGTCTCTGTTGGCCAGAGCTCACCCAGGAGGGGCCATGTACCAGGACAGAGGAGGACTCAGGGCGACAATGGACATTAACCAGGTGTTGGTAGTACAAGGTGGAAGGACGTGTCCTCTCAGGCTCCTTCATCCCTTGGCTCCCTCATCATCCCCCTCCTGTTGGCCTTTGCCGTGAGGATGTGCAGGAATGTCCCGTAGGGTGTATCCGTGGGATGGGCCAGGCCATGCTCCTTCCTGTCCCTGCCACGCCTCGCCTGGAGAGAGCACAGGTTTGCAGAGATGCCTGTAAATGACTCAGCAGGCAGACAGGCAGGGGGTGCCTGTGGCCCCTCTGGCCGCGCTCCACGGGCTCTGTTTGAGTTGCGGGTTGAGCCTCTGGCTGGGCCCAGTTCAAACTCCCCGTGGTTCCCATCCCCCGGCGCTGTGGGAAGATCCTGCCTTTATTACAGGGATGAGTTCAGAGAGCAACAGGCAGGTCCTGATCAAACATTAACAGTGGGAAGATCTTGGTTTTTTTCCCAGAACCAGGAGTGGGAACAGCAGGTAGGAAATGCTGAGCACCTGAGTGCAGTGCCAGTGGGGTCCCACGGGGTGCTGTGCTGGTCCCAGCCCAGCGTGTCCCCACGCTGTGACACTGCTGAGGACATGAGGGACCAGGAGATTTGTTTTCCTTTTCCAACCTCTGAGCGCAAGTGAGCACAAAGCCTTGAGCTCGACCAGAGGGGAGGTGCTGCAGGGTTCAGTGCCCGAAGTCAGTGTCCGTGACACAGGTCACCAAACAACCAAGATATGAAGAAGACAGTAAATAACAGTTAATAACCTGGTGTGGGATATGCACAAGGAAAAATCCTGAGCAGCTGTGTGGTGCTGGGCTGCTCTGAGGAGAGAGCACAGGGACCCGGATTCTGGCAGCTGATACAGCCTGAGGACTGTCAGCAGCAGGATTTAACCATTCCCAAGAACATTCCTTCAAGGATAACCACCAAAAAATAGAAATGCAGCAGAAGATGGCATTTGGCAAGTTACATCTGAAGAGGTTTCGTGCGTCCTCATCTTAGTCACAACCAAAATCAGTGCTTTAAATTACTGATTCACATCAGTCCAGCCCGAGGACACGTCACCACCAGCCCCGATCCTACTCCTCACTGACACTCCCAGAAAGGCTCTCCCTGGACAAGGCCTTTCCAGCGTGAGCTTTTGAGGAGGGATCGAGTTGTGAGCCAAGAGATGGGGCTGCCTGTTGGAGCAGGAGATGGAAGGCACTGCAGGGAAAGGACATGGAGCTGAGGAGAGGGAAGGTGCTGCAGGAAGGGGAGGTGGAGCTGGGGAGATGGAAGGACACAGAGCTGGAAAGATGGAAGATGCTGCAGGGAAAGGCCACAGAGCTGGGGAGGTGATGCCCCCTCCTGCCCTGCCCATTTTGTGGATGCATGAGGGCTGCAATCCTGGGGAACCCCCTGAGCCCCTTGTCCATAGCAAGCACATCCTCTGGGATGGTGCCTGTGGACTGGCCCCCCGTGTACCCCAGGAAGCAGTGGGAAGGGGCAGGGGCCAGGCACAGGACCACTTGCTGGAGGGCACATGCTGCCCTTAGCCCTTTGCCAGAGGAACAGGAGCTGCAGCCGGGCTCGGCCATGGAGCTGGGAGACAGGGCAGAGCTCCTGTTCCTGTGTCAAAGGACCTGGTGGGATCCACAGCTGTCCCCAGGCCAAGGTGCCCCCAGCAGCTGGATGAGGCTTCCAGCCCTGGGGGTTTGTGGGGACATTGGAAAAGTACCAATGAAATGAATGAGTGGGGCAGCACCAGAGGCAGGGGCAGCCCTGGAGCCGAAGTCATTGGGACAGGATGGGGATCTGGTGCTAGGGATCTGGAGCAGGAGCTCGGAGAGGGCAGGCAAGAGCAGATTTCAGAGCAGCCACCAAGGGCTGGGTGAGCCTGGGACTAGCTGCTGCTGGAGCATGGGAAAAACAGGGCTTTTCTTCTCGCCTAAGCTCTTGGAAATTGCAAAACAAGGGGAAATTGTGCAAAACATCCTGCAGAAGGACCCTTGTCCCTAATCGCCACGTGGTTAGTGCAGCCAAAGCCCCGGCACAAGGGGACATGACCTAATTCCAATCCTTCCCTTTGCCTGGAAGAGCAGCCAAAGCACGCTCTGCCGGCACTGCTGGGCACTGGGGACACCTCCCTGGGGACACCAGAGAGGTCGGGCCCTTCCCTCGCTGCCCATCACATCCCGAGGTGACCCCTGCTCAGCAGGGTGGGGGTGAGGGGTTCCTTCCCCCCTTGGGTGGGCTGTCCCCGTCCCCCAGAACCCCATGGTGTCAGGCTGAGCCACAACAGCCCTAGGACAGCTTCCCCTGCAAGGAGACAGCGATTTGGGGGATGGAGAGGAGGATGAAGGAGAGGATGTGCTGGGAAGGATGAAGGCCCTTGGTGATAGTGGTGGTGCATTAGGGAGGAGGATGTACGGAGGGATTTGGGGATGGGGAGAACTGGCTGACTCCCACCCCACACCCATCTAGCCCTGGGGATCCCACCCCTGCCCCTCAGCCCCAGAGCCCAGCTGGGATTGTGTGGCCATGGCAGGGCCTCCCCAGCTGCTGCTGTCCCCAAAATGGGCTGCCCCACTCACCTGCGACCCGGGCAGCTCTCACGAGTGGGGCCCCCCCGGGGAGTGCCCGTTCCCCACGGGGCAGGAGGCCATGCCGAGGGGCTGCAGGCTGCCCTTTGCCGTGCCCTGCCGTGCTGTGCCCGCTCCCGCTCTCCCACGGCCGGGAGCAAAGTGCCCAGGAAAGGCAGGGCTGGAGGCGGGCGGAGGCGGAGGCAGGAGCTGGAGCTGCCCCAGGGCTCTGCCCCACTGCACTCCCATCCCTCCATCGTCCTCGCAGGCTTTGGGCCACCTGCAGCTCCTGCAGCAGCCCCCTGGGCATGGGGTGTGTGGGCCTCTGCCATGGGGACCACGGCCCCCTGCCCATGGGGCCACAGCCCCTCACTCATGGGGACCATGGTCCCTCAACCACAAAGGCCACAGCCCCTCATCCATGGGGACCGTGTACCCCCACCCATGGGGACCACAGCCCCTCACTCATAAGGACCATGAGTCCCTCAGCCACAAGGGCCACAGCCCCTCATCCATGGATTGCGTCCCCCCGCCCATGGGGACCGTGGCCCCTCGCCCACCCCGGCAGCCCCCCTGCCCCACGCTGTCCCAGCAGTGCCCGCACCCCGGAGCGCTGCTCCGCTGCCCCCCAGCCCTGCGAGGCCATCCTGGGGACAAAAGGTGGCCAGTGCCACCTTGAGGCCAGCCCGGGCATCGTGTCCCCAAACCCAGGGCCACCTTGGGTGTCGCAGCAGTCGGGACGCTGCCGGGTCGTGGTGTCCCTGTGTTTGGGGGTAGCGTGTCCCCCGCTCCCTGTGCTGCTCAGAGGAATTCACCTCCTTTGCGAGGGCAGTGGGAGAAGGGCGGGTGCTGAGCTCACCTGGCGGGTTTGTGATGAACGGGGATCACAGGGGGGCAACGGGTGCACCCCGAGATGTGTGGGGGCCACGACCGTGAGCAGGCTGGCTTGGAGGGAGCAGGGGGCGAGGTCCTGGGGCACCCCGGGGATGCTCGGCCACCGAGGGAGGACACGGGGGAACCCGCGTGTGCAGGGCTGAGGGGACACATCCGGAGGGGAATTGTGCCACCGTGAATACCCGTGAAGGCAGAGCCAGCCCGTGGGACCCCCACGGGACCCCGGGCAAAGGGCAGTCTCGAGGGTCGGGGTGTGCAGGGTGCCCCATGGAACACTGGGAGGCGGGCGGCAATGTGCTGGAGCAGCCGGAACATCGGGAGCTGTTTTCCCCGCCTGGATCGGCTCGGCTTGGCGCGCTCCCTCCTTGCCCCTGAGCAGAATCAGGTGTACACACACCCCTCCAGCCCCTGCGACTTTATTAGGGATAGGGATAGCAATGGGCATCCTGTAAGGAACTGGCCTCGGGAGCGGCTGCTGTAGGGAAAGTCCTCTGGGAATGGCAATCCGAGCAGGGCTGAGCCCGGGAGGAGGGAGCAGCTGCCGAGGCCGCAGGCTGGGCTGGGCACGGATGCGCTACATCCAGACGGGATGCGGGTTGGCCGCCTGACGGGGCTGAGCCCCGAGGTCCAGCGCGCCCAGTGCTCCCCTCTTCCCGAGGGGCCTCGGCACCTCCCGGCAGGGCCGCGGGGGCGGCTCCAGCACACGGTGGGTCTGGCGCAGCGGGATCTCCTGGGTGTCCCCTCTGCCCTCGGGGGACACCTGGCTCGGGTGGGTGGCCACGTGCAGCGCGGACAGCGAGCAGTCCCCCAGCCCCGCCGCGTCCCGAGCCAGGATGGCCGATTTGGGTCTCTTGTGGTGGCCCACTCCGGGGGGGCTGAGTGGGTGCCCACAGGATGGGCTCGGTGCCCCATAGCGGGGTCGGCCACCCCACTGCTCCTCCCCTGAGGGCGAAGGGACCCGCGGCCCGGGGGGGCTCCAGCGCCGCTGGCCCCCGGCCGGGCTCTCTGCCTGCTTGTTGGGGGCTTCATCGGGGGCTGGGATCCACGTGTTGGGGACCCCCTCGAAGATGAAGTAGGCTGGGTTGGTGTAGCCGGTGGCCTCGGGGAGGCTGCGGGGCCGGCTTCTGCGGAACAGAGCGGGAGAGGGCTCAGCATCCCCCACGGCCGCGGCTCGCGGTGGGGCCGAGCCCGGTCGGGTACCTGCGGGGCTGCAGGGGTGGTTTGGGGCGCAGCGGGGTGTCTGTCACCGGCTCAGCATCCTCCTCCTCAAAGCTGATCCACTCTGCAAAGGCACCCAAGTCTGGGCTCACCCCACGGCCGGGGTCCAGGGGGCAGTGTGGGCACGGGCAGCCCCACACCACGTCCTGGGTGTCCCTGAGCCCAGCGCTGGGAGGGGCTTGTGTGCCCCCCGTACCATAGAGCCTCTCGCGGGTGCTGCGCCGCTCCGTGGGCACTCGGACCCGCATCCAGCCGCGTATGGAGCCCGTCTCCTCACCACGGTGGAAGAGGAAGGTCTCGAACTGCTGTGCTGTGCTGCCAATCATTGACCTCAGGGCAATGCAGCACTCGCCTGGGGGCACAGCAGGCACCCGTGTCAGCCCCTGGGGGGGCAGCTGAGCCCCCCGTGTGCAGCAGCACTCTGGAATATGTTGGGTGCCACTGTTCCTCCTGCCAAGCTCCAGCTGCCAAACCTTACACCCAGCAGGCTGTTACCTGTGGGGCTGTGCTTGGCACCCTCATGCCATCACGGTGTCCCCATGTCACCATCCTGCACCTACCGTAGGATTCGCAGCTCTCCACGCCCTTGATGCTGAGAAGCAGGTGCTGGTCCCCCAGGTACTCCAGGTCTGGCAGGATGGGGTTCAGCTGCATGTGGAGAGAGGGGTGCTCTGGGGGCTGCTGCAGGGTAGGGGGGCACAGGGAGGCTCTGCCCTGGGGCTGGTGACAGGGTTTGGATCTGAGTCCAGGGTTTAGATTCAGAGGGAGGGATGGGGAAGAGGAGGCAGGAGGATGCTCCAGGGCTGTGTACCACAGGCAGATGCTTTGCGGACCAGCCCAACTTGAGGAATCCAGGGATGTCACAGTTCTGGAAGGTGTTCTCCCCGCTCCGCTGCATCTCTGTGGGGGACAGCGGGGGCACAGCTCCAGCAGGGCCAGCTCACCCCCTTGATGCACCCCAGCACCCTGGGCACCCCCTCACCCTCCAGGCAGTAGGAGTGGAACTCGATGTAGCACTTGCTGCGGCTGGTGGTTTTCAGGATCACCTCGAGGCTCTCCCACTCGATGCAGGCCAGCGCCTTGGGGCTGGAGCCAGGGGCTGCAGGCAGGTACCAGTGGGTCAGCGTCTGCCAGGGCTCACCCCAAACCGGGCACGGGGGTGACACACCCCAACCCCTTACCCTCCTTGGGCACAAACTGCGACGTCACTCCCACCTCGAAGGTGGCAAAGACGGGCGAGTGGTCGCTGGTCACGATGTCATCGGTGCAGCCTGGATGGTGGCAGGGGTCAGCTGGGTGACAGTCCCCAAGCCCTGGGGTCCTGGGCAGCACTGGCCACCCCAAGCTCCCCCATTGCTGGGTTTTCACTCACCGTAGGAGTTACAGACCACGTGGGTCTCTGGGTGTGACTTCCACAGGATGCGATCACACCACGAGGGGACGTTGATCCTCACCTGGAAGCAGGGAAAGTAGTTGGTGCTGATCCCCTCGGGTGTGGCTCCCCCAGCCCAAAAAGACCTTCCAGCACCCCAGAAAGTGAGTTCCCTCCTGCCCAGACCCCCTCTGGGGAGGGAACAGGATGGTGGAGGTGTGGGGGAGGAGATCACCATGCAACCCCTTGGCACCCTGCTGCCACCATTCCCAGAGATGTCCTGTTTGGAAGGAGGCTTCAGGAACTCACCCCCGTGGGCTTGAACTTCTGCCACACGTAGGTGTCCCGGGAGCCCCGCTCGTACCGGTACGTGGGGGGGAAGGAGATGTCACCTTCACCTGGGAACAAAGACATGGAGGTGGTGCAGGGACCATTGTCCCTGCCTGTCCCCACAGCAACTGTCCCTGTAGGGAGTCCCCATGTGAGGCTCACACCGACAGCTGGCACCCCTGGCACAGTGCACATCAAGGTCCCCCAGGCTCTGGGCACCTTGTGCAGGGCTGTGCCAGGACAGGGGACCCCTGAGTGCTGGGGGTGGCACAGGGGGAGGGCTGTGGGGACCCCGGGTGCCACTGTCCCAGTGGGGGGAGCAGCGCCCTTGTCCCCACACTCACTGAATCGCAGGAACACCTTGTTCTTCTCCCGCTCCAGGTTGAGCTGGTCCACAGCCAAGAGGGCTTGAAACTCCTTCTTGGTGACATGGGCAAGGATGTCCTGTGTTGAGGGGGAAGGGTTAGTGAGCCCCAGGGGCTCCTCTCGCCCTGCTGACCCCAGCGTGGTCCCTGTGGGGTCCCACCTCCATGCCCATGTCCAGGCGGTAGTTGAGGTCCCCAAACCAGAAGAGGTGGGTGAAGCGCAGGGTGAGGTCGAAGCCCCCCAGACGTTTGTCACCCAGGACCAGGGAGTGCAGGATGTCGCTGTAGTTCTGGTTACGCCTGTGGGGGGGGAATGGCAGCACCATGTGAGCAACCCTGTGTGAGACACCTCATCCTCATCCTGCCCCTGCTGGGTGGGGACAGGGACAGCCCATCAGCACTCCTCCAGCCCCCTGAGACACCCACCTGCCCTGGGGCAGCCCCATCCCTCCGAGCCCCTCCATCACCTGTGGATCTTCTCACTGCCGGAGGTCAGGTGGCAGTTGATGAAGCCAAAGGAGGTCCCGTTGAAAAGGAAGGAGACACCCACAGCTCCCTTGTTTCCTGCAGGGATGTGCTGCCACTGAGCTCTGGGGGAGCCCAGAGGTCCTGTCCTGGCCCTTGGGCTGCTCCCTCATTCTGGGCATCCCATCCCATGCCATCCCTACCCAGTGTGTTGGCGATCCCGGTTTTCACGCTGGAGGTGCGGACGTGGCTGATGCGCCGCTCGTGCTCCGGTTTCACCAGCACCACGATCTTGATGCTCCAGAGGCACTGCAGGGCCACCTGTGGAGGGGCAGGGGGTGAGCCTGCCTGCCCCCCACGCTGCCCCATGGCCGGGTGTGGTGGGGATGGAGATGCAGGTAGGTCAGCCAGCCCGTCCCTGACTGCAGGGCAGGGCACTCCT